AGTGCTCTTTGTAAAACATGGATCCACAAAAGTGCAACACTTTGCAGGATAATCTTCTGATGTTTTTCTGTGAAGCTGTCAGAAAGTCTAGCTCCGTCGTCTCAGCCTGCCAGATGCGTATCACCACCTTCAGGTTTAGACTTGGCCACAGTCACCCATGAAACGGCTGCTTCTCCAGTCCTTCACACAAACAGTAAGCCGGATGTATCTGCAGGCTTTATGCTGATTGTTATTAGTACAACTGACGGGCTTTTTATTTAAAAGGGGAAGAACTAATCAGTGAAATCAAGCTGGTACGGGAGGAGAGAAAGCAGCTGGAGAGGACGCGACAAGAGCTGCTGCGAAAGGGGAAAGACTTGTTAGCCCAGAACAGACACCGCAGGAACCAAGGTCAGCACCAGTCACCAGAGGCTTTTAATTATTCTCCAATCTGAGTTAAAGCGCTAACAATTTAGTGAAACTTTTTTTTGTTAAAGTTGTTAACCAATTTGTCTCCGTCCTTTTAACATAAAGCACGTGACAGCTGGAAAAAGAAATATTTTGAAGCCAAGAAGGCCACAGCGCCATTGGACGAGAACTTGAGAAACTTGAGACAAGAACTGGAGACGTTTTACAACAAAGTCCTGCATCAGCTGCAGGCCCGAGATAACAGAGCAAAGCCCAGACACCAAGGAAGATCCTCCATGAAGGTACAATCTAACCACTAGGGGTGGGGAAAAAATGGATACTATGTAGTATGGTGATATTTTTTGCTAATAATGTATCGATACAGGGATAGCAGAAATCGATATTTTGTTACAAAAAGGTTTTTGTGCTCTGACTTCAGAGCATGTTGATCCTTTTTCTGAGCAAGAATCCTGACATTCCTTCACTGTCCAAATGTGTTTCACTTGTTTTTGGCAGCAATAAACATGACAGTTTACTTATTTTAATTTAAGACATGTTTTATTTTAATGAAGTTTAAAACTTTTTTATTTAATGTAAAATTATATTTTGTTTTAATTTACTTTCAAATTCTTCAGTTGCTGAAGGGGCTGCATAGTTTTCATAAACTGCATAGTTCAGAATAGCTATAATTGTACCAGATGGTTGATTCAGTTAAGTTGGACTAGACTGTAATACAAACCGTTCAGTTTGTCAACAATAAAACTGAAATGAGAGAAAGACTGAGTGTGAGACTTTGATATTAGAGAAAATGAATATTGATAAAGTTTACCTTTATGTACAGAATCTGAATATCGCTAAATATTTTAAAAAATTGCAATAATATCGTATCGTGCGTTAAGTATTGTGATAATATCGTATCGTGGGATGTATGGTGATTCCCACCTCTAATAACCACACTATTCCCTTCTTTTTTTAAAATGCATCTTCAGTATTAATATAAAATCTCAGTGGCTCAGTTTCAGGTCTGTACAATGAACCAGTCATTACTTGCACCTTGCTAGTTCTGGGCTGGACCCTCTTTTGCTTTCAGAACTGCTTCAATTCTTCATGCACAGATTCAACGAGATGCAGGAAACGTTCCTCAGAGATTTTGGTTCATATTCACACAGTTCTGCAGATTTATCGGCTGCACATCCATGATTTGAATTTCCTGTTCCATCACATCCCAAAAACAACACTCGGCTAGGCTGTGGTGTTTAAAAAATGATGAAATGGTACTAACAGGGGCCAGTTTCTGACACTACCATCCGAGCGTTACAGCAGAAATAGAGTTGAATCCGACCAGGCAAAACTTTTCCAATCGTCTAATGGTTCCATTTTGGCGTAGCCTCAGCTTCCCTCAGAGGCAGCCGGTGTGGCGTTCTTGCTGCTGTAGCCTTCAACCAAGCATATAATAGTTGAAATAATTTGTTGTCTTACTACCAGCAGTCAGGTAGTAAATGATAAATCATCTTTTTTCCCTATTCTGACGCTCAGTTTGAATTTCAGCAGCTCATCTCGACCTTGCTTACATGCCTAAACGCACCGTTTCTGCCATATGATTGGCTGATTTAGATATTTGTGTTAACGGGTAGTTGAACAGGTGTATGTAATTCAAATGGCCACTCGTCCATAAACAGTTTTCCACCCATAAACTTAATGACGGACTATCCCTTACAGAACGAGCTCATCATTCAGATCATGACTGAGAGCCACGAGATTGACAACCTGAAGAGGAAGGTAGAAGATGCCAAGATGAAGCTGGTAACGGAGATAAAGGTAAGTGATGTATGAAAACTATTAAAATACCTGAGCTGGTTGGTCAAGAGACATATCATCAATAGGGCTGCCACGATTAGTCGACTAGTCACGATTACGTCGACTATCAAAATCGACGACGACTGATTTAATAGTCGACGCGTCGTTTGAAGCTTTGTAAGATCACAAAAGACGCAGGAATAAGTAGTAGGATTTAAGAGTGTAATAACGGACTGAAACAGAAGATGGCAGCACTGCATGTACAAGGATGCCAGCTGCCGTTAAACCCCGAAGAAGAAGAAGAAGCTGTGTCCCAGAATTCATAGCGCGGCCTAGCGCAGTTGTCAACTAGCGGCAGCTAGTTAGTTTTAATATTACTCTTATTATTCTTTCTGGGTCACAAAATAAACGTTTAACATATTTTCAGGCGAGAATGTAGCTGTGTAAACCTCAAATATCTGCTCAGTTTATCAGGACACCACATATTTTCAAAAGCGTTCCGACGTTTTCGGAGATGTCTGTTACCCACTAGCTCGATAGCTAGCCGGGGGCAAAGCTCACTGTGAGAACACCGGACTCCCGGCAATCGTTTTCAAACCCACCGCCGTCTTTCGCTACTCAGGTTAAACATATATAAGTTACTTAGATATCTTAAAAATGTTATTGTTTGGCTTTTTTCAGTATTTTATTTGTTCCTGAGTAAATCGGTTTGGCTGAGATTAAAGTTGAATAAATGTCAATGAGACAGCTGATGATCAGAAGTGTGAGATGCTGGAGAATATACTCTGGTGTCCTGTTATATTTTAGATAGCAAGGAGTTTTTTAAACTTCACCGAAACAATCTGCAAATTTCATTAAAAAATAAACTATCATCTTGTCTTTATTTTGAGTTAGCACATACCTTAAACACTTAGAGCTGTAAGCTAATGATAGTTATATAAGAGCAGATGCTGCTGGTGCAATAAGCTGTAGTTTTATATCCAATGGATGATGATCTGATTAGTCGACTAATCGCAAAAATAATCGGTGACTAGTCGACTATCAAAATAATCATTTGTGGCAGCCCTAATCATCAATAAAATCATCTAATCACAGATCACAGCAGAGCTCATTTTCTTGTGTTTCCTATGAATGTTTTTCTAGTTGAGAAAACAGGCGGCCACCGAGCTCAGAGCCCTGAAGGCTGAGCTGGCTCAGAAGAAGAGTCTCATCCCGGCCTGATGGGAAATACTCCACAGCACGGGGCACAAGTCCAGAGCAGCGCCACCCAGTTCAGAATAAACTGCACGTGAAAAACAGGTTTTCTGGTTTAATTATTTTGGACTTGAATGTGTCTTTCTAATTAGTTATGTTATTTTATTGGACCAAAATGGTTTGCATTGTTTTATAAAGTCGATTTAAGTTTGGGTTTCTCAGATGATGTAAACTCTGATGTGCTGAGATAACAAAATATCACTGCTTACTCTGTAATTTCATTCAAAGATTTATTAGAAACAAGTTTTATTTATTTAAAAGTGCATAAATCTCAGTAAGCTCAGTGTAGGGACGTTTAAAGACTGGCTTTCCTTTTTAGAGAATCACAGTTATTTCGCTTAGCAAAGAGGAATGTAACCCAGTCAAAGGCAGCAGCAATAAAGGAAACAATTAACTCTCAAGTGCAAGTATGCCTCGAATGCCCCCTTTACTGCTACAAAGGGAGGTGTTGACTTAGCAACAAACAGAGGCGGGCTCTGGGATGGTTTGTCACGTGCACGGCTAGCATCCTAAAAGAGCGTTCCACATCATTGTTGTCTGTTGCCTGGCGACCGGATCATCACTGTAGTCCAAGATGTTGGCGTTCCACATGCCAATACCCCTCAGATCCTTAGACATCACCGAATCCGCCTTTGGGCAAATACTCTGTGGGTCATCGTACCAAACTTGATGGATTTGTCCGTCCTGGTCCTGAGGAAAGAAGCAACAACATAAATTTGATAATAGCGCCATCTTGTGGTCTGAAAAGATTTGTCCATCCACCCTGTGGGCAAATAGCAGAAATGTTTAGTTGTTTCAGAAGGCTAATTCCTTCTGTTTGGGAAGTGACACTGCTGTACTTTAACAGTGCATCCAGATAAACGGCTCTTCCCTGAAATACAAGCGCCATGCAGGCATGAAGCTAGTCAAACTTAAACTTGGCAAAATACAAAGAACACAAGCCTGAAGAGACGATCATATCAGTCGAAATCTTGGTTTGCATATTAATATTTGATTTAAATATTAACTGGAGCTAAACAGTGCACAGATCCTTTCTTGCACATATTGCCTTTTTGGTCCGAGACCTAAAACATTTCGCCTGGAAGCAAAAGAACTAAAACCCAAATATTTAAATGCACATTTAACACCTTACCCATGCATTTGTATACTTCAAGAAGAAAAAGGATTTATCCTTAAAATATGAAAGAAAATTGAGCACCTTGTAATTGAAGTAGGGAGCCTGCTGCTCGTCGTCCCAGAGCCTGCCTGACATCGAGCTGTTGACCTGCTTCATGAGCCACTTGTACGGTTTCTGTTTTCCAGCAGCATCGCTGCAAGGAACTCCACGGAAAGGCACTTTCTCTATAGAGCACACGCCCTCCTGGTGTGAGAAAAGAAATGATGGTGTGTTATAATAACAGGCAGAAGTGGCCTCATATCACATATGGCCCACACTGGGCAAGGTTAGTAATGCTATCGGCGAATAACCTATACAAATGTCATTATCCCGCCTTTGTTCAGCTGAATGAACAAACATCGTGTCCCCGTTCGAGGATACACCTTTTTTTAAACATTCTGTTCAAAGGTGATTCCTTGAATTCAAAATCCTGCTCCTCACATACAAGGTCTTAAATAATCAGGCCCCATCTTATCTTAATGACCTTGTAGTACCATATCACCCTATTA